AGGAGGAAAGGGAGGAGGCGGCGAAGGCACTGGGGGATAGCGTTCCAGAGCCTCGGGGCTGAGAGGCTGAAGGCCCGACCACCGATGGTAGGGCGATTGGGGCGGGGGACGTGGAGCAGACCGGAGCCGGAGGAACGGAGGGTACGGGCAGGTAGGTAGGGGGATAGTAGGTTGGAGAGGTAGGAGGGAGCAAGGCCGTGAATGGCCTTGTAGGTGAGGATGAGGATCTTGAAATCAAATTTACAGCCCAAATTTACTGTGGGAAGCCATATGATGTAATATATCGAGACGGTTCTACACCCCGATACGTACACCCACAATATTGCTCACTCTCCCTCGCAGAGTGTACTGGGTGACCTGTGTTCAATCCTCACTAATGAATGCAAATCTCTATAACTAGGTATAACTTGACTAATGAGTTCTTCCATGATGACAGGTACTACCAATTGCTATTTAAATTAAAGCAAATTGGGAAGCTTCCGTCATCAGTCTTTTATTCTAAACAGATTATGACGTAGGCTCAACCTGTCTGTGTAGTCCCTTCTTCTCGAAAACTCGAGAAAGTGGTCAAGAAAACTCAATGGAATTTTACTGCAGTTTCGATGAAATCCACAACACTCGGCATTAAATTTTAAACGACACGATAAATATCAACAAACACAACTATAAATAACAAACACTAATCACACTTAAACTAAACAAGCTAGCAGCCACTTGTAATGAAGTTAATGTAAAGTGAACGATAGAACAATCACTGGCCTAGAGGACTGGTCCTCATCAATAGTCAGGGCACGTACCTTTTGATGTCATCAGGTAAGAATCAGTGACCCTGAAAATGGTGCTCGTTCTTTTATGGGCATTGACATAAAAAATGTATTTAACGGGCTACTCAATATATTTAGTTCTACTGAACCTCAGGACATTCTGAGTATCCCTGAGCACAATCGGTAAGCCACAAACAACACTCAGACTGGCTAATGCTTTTAGCGAACACATAATCTTTACAGAACATATTTTAAACAACAGACCAGCAGAGAAAACAATGGGGTGACCTTAACAAATCGGATAGGTAGGGAGGTGTGAAGGCATGAAAAATACGACTGCTCTTGTGTGACATCATGCAGTTTCACTCCAGTGACACTTTGAATGGAAAGATAGATGTTGTTCCTGCTTATGATTACAATGAAGAGCTATGTTATGAATCAACTCCAGGGCCACATTTGCAAATGACATCAACAACAAATTACCTTTGTATAGCGCCCTCACATCAGGTGGACTTTCCAAGGTGCTGGACAGTCAGGGATCCCCACCCAAGCTTGTGATTGGGATCAGGAGGGGTGGAGGGCAGGGATGTAGGGGCAGGAGTGTGACTGAAGGCAGTGTTGAAGAGGAGGCTCTTGAGATGAGTTTTGAAGGAGACAAGGGAGGGGGCGAGGCAGAGGGACTGAGGGATGGAGTTCCAGAGGGTGGGGGCAGAGTGGAAGAAGGCCCACGGGCCAATAGTGGGGAGGGCGAAGCGGGGGATGTGAAGCAGGTCAGAGCCTGCTGAGCAGAGGGAGCAGGCAGGTTGGTAGGGAGTTAGGTCACAGAATGGCAGAGCCTGGTGCGGGAGAAGACACGGCCTGCAGAGTTCTGGACGGTCTGTAGTCTGTGAAGGGAGGAGTTGGGGAGGCTGACAAGCAGGGAGCTTGCGTAGTCAAACCTGGATGTTATGAATGCGTGTATGAGGGTCTCGGTGGCCTGCAGTGTGAGACAGTGGTGGAGCCGGGCATCTGATGTCTGAGACCTTCCATCAGGACAGCAGTGTTGAGGGTGGAGGCAGAGAGATAGAGTTGGGTGTCATCCGCATACATGTGCAAATTGACCCCACGTCTGCAGATGATGTCACCAACAGGGAATATATAGATATTGAAAAGTGGGGGACCAAGGACAGAGCCCTGAGGAACTTCACACGAGATGGTGCAGGAGTTAAAGGAGAAGCTGTTTGTGGAGATGGAGGTGTGAGAGGTATCATAGAATCATACAGCACAGAAGGAGGCCATTCGGTCCATCGTATCTGTGCTGGCTCTTTGTAGAGAGCTTCTAACTTAATCCCACCCCCTGCTCTCTCCCCATAGCCCTGCAAACTTTTCCTCCCCAAATGATTATCTACTCTTAAAAATTGTTATAGAATCGGTTTCCACCACCCTTTCAGACAATGCATTCCAGATCCGAACAACTCGCTGTGTGAAATAATTTCTCCTCACCTTCCGTTTCTTTTAACAACTATTTTAAATAAATGCTTTTGGGTTACCAACCTACCAACCAGTGGAAATAGTTTCTCCTTGTTCACCCTATCGAATCCCTTCATAATTTTGAAAACTTCTATAAAGTCTCCTCTTAACCTTCTCTGCTCCAAGGAGAATAATCCTAGTTTCTCTAGACTCTTCTGATAACTGAAGTCCCTTATTCCTGGTGAATCTCCTTTGCACTGTCAATGCCTTGACATCCTCCCTAACATGTGGTGCCCAGAAATGAACACAGTATTCTAGCTGAGACCTAACCAGTGTTTTATATAGGTTCATCATAACTTTCTGACTTTTGTTTTCTATGCCCTTATTTATCAAGCCTAGTAGCCCATGTGCTTTTTTAACAGCTTTATCTACGTGTCCTGCCACCTTCAAAGATTTGCTTATATGAACCCCCAGGTCTCTCTGTTCCTTCACCCCTTTTAAGATTCTACCATCAGCTTGTATTGCCTCTCCTCATTCTTCCTCCCAAAATGCACCACTTTGCATTTCTCCACATTAAACTTTGTCTGCCACATGTCTGCCCATTTTACCAGTCTGTCTTTGTCCCCTTTGTCTGCTAGTGCTTCTCACTGTTTACTACTTTTCTAGCATAGTATCATCTGCAAACTTGGAAATTGTACTCCCTATACCCAGGTCATTTATATAGATTTGTGGAGATATGCAAAGTGATGCATTTTAGGAGGAAGAATGAGGAGAGGCAATTAGATAATTATTGGAGGAGGACAAATTTGCAGAGCTCTGGGGAGAGAGAGCGAGGGAGTGGGATTAAATTGGATAGCTCTTTTCAAAGAGCTGGCACAGACCCGATGGGCCAAATGGCCTCCTTCTGTGCTGTATGAAAAAAATAGAAAAGCGGGATTTTAAAGGTGAAGGAATGTCCACCTAATGAATGGTAAACCTTATATTCTGTGCTAAAGGTATAAGGAGCCTCTCCAGGTACAGAAGAATTCAAGCCTTGATTAATTATCCTTAAATTTAACATTGCACCTTATAACATTGAAAGGTTCAAAGCACTTGAAAGAATTTACTTTGAATGTGAGTGTGAATTTCAAAGGTGAACACAGCAGCCAAATTGCACACAGCAACATCCCACAAAGAGCCATATGGTGAATGACCAATTTACCTGGGGGATTTATGTCCAGTACCCTAGAAGCAACTCCCTTCTCTTTGTGAATTGTAATAAATACAATAATCCTTGCATTTGATATAGCGCCTTATCAGGTCTTCAAGACATATCACATCACTTCACAGAATATACGTGAGGGCAGCCAATTGCACACAGCAGTGTCCCACAGACAGTCGTGGAATCAGTGATCAAATTATTTTCATATTTATTTTCTTTTTAAGGGGTTATTACCCACAGAAAAGTGATCTGTCAATCAACTTAACAACCGGGTTCCTACTTATTGCTACTTAGCAGGTTCAATACCCTACCTAGTTTACCTAAACAGAGGCATGTGGAATATCCTGTAGTCAGATGGGAACTTAGTTATTATTATTATTGGCATTGGGGGTGTCAGCCTTAGACTGTTAGCTCAGTCCGCACATGGGACTCAGAAGCAAGAGTGCTACCAAACTGGGCCAAACCGACTGAACAAATTCAATTTATGTAAGTGCCTTTCACATTAGATGAATCGACTTTCACTTTACAGAACTGATGGGAAAGAGGAAATGACCCATCCTTGAGGGAATTAAGCTTCCGCTCATACAAAAGCAATAGCAAACCACTGACTGCTACATAAGTTGTGAGACTAAGAGGGCAAAAAGGAGGAAGTAGTCTCTGAATTGCAATGATTGCAGACCACCAAATCAGGGCGTCCATGTTCTGTTTTTATACAAACCCAAGCTTCTAGACTTGGGTTAATTCAGTTTTGACCGAGTTTACACACAAATATAAAATAATTCAATCCATTGCAGATCCTTTAGTTTAAATAAAGCGGGTTCAATACCCAACATTGGGGATTCCTTAACTTGGGAAAATGCTCACAGGGGCACAGTGAAAGTCACACTCCCTCTAAAACAAGTGAAATGTCAGAGGCTGCTCCACTCTGTGGTAAAGTGTCCATTTTAACTTTCTGTTAAAGATTTTTGATTCTTTTAAAATCTGTTAAATCCAAGTCCCTTCGGCTCCTTTTTTCCTTCTGCTGCTACTGCTGTTCCGGCTGCTGTCACACAGGGTCGGGTCTCTCAGTCAGAGAGATGGTGGGGGTGGGGGGAGAGGAGAGGAAAGGTCCGGTCGAACGAACCACACACCCATCTAGAAAAAAATAGATCGGTATACTTCCGCCCGATTTCTTCAACGCACAAAATGCTCGCTCTGAGGCCTCGGGATGGGGAGACGCCACAGCGGGCAGCACTGCCGCGGACTTCAGTGGTGGCAAAAATGAAGAGACAGAAAAGGCCTGCGCCCGACAGTGCTCTGGTTAAATCTCGCTCTTTGAACTACACATTAATTCATAATAAAAAGGAAACCCGAAACTTCCCATTTCCTCCGCTTCACCTTATATCAATATCCACCAACCAACCAGTCGCCAGCCGCTGGCCCAATGAGATCCGGGCTCAGCGCGATGGGTGAGGGTGGGGGAGCGCGGGAGCCAATGGGAGCTGGCGGCGCGCTCTCGCGAGATGTAGAAGGCCGGTCCGTTGGGAGCATGGGCCAATAGGGCGTCGAGTTGTGGGCGCGGCGGAGGGATCGAGGCGCGCGGGGCGGGTAAGGCGTCCTCGCCTCTTTGAGGGACTGCGGGTGACGCTCTCAGTGTGTTGTTTTGACGTGGCCGCTACGTCTGTGCAGAGCCATCCACTGGCGGCGTCCCGTGAGCGGTGACGAGGCAGACTACGTAAAGGGGGTAAGTGAGTGAGAGCGCAATGGAGACCGCGGCACAACAACAACACACGTACACAAGCAGGCGGGCGGCGGGGGGAAGAGTGTGGAGATAGACAGGACAGGACAAGAGGCAGCAGTCAGTCATTCATCGACATCCTCGCTCACCAACTTCTCTCTTTCCTACCTCATTCCAAACAACTGGTCACCTTTCCTCTCGCTGTTTCTCCCCGCCACCACTAACCACCCAACCCTCTTGCAATGATTTGAACGTGAGGATTGAAAAGAGCCGCCAACCTGGCACAGCCATAAACCAGCTCGGGACAGAGCATGTTCTGTAAAAGGGCAACGGGTGCCGTGCTACAGCCCATGGGGTGTGGGAAGCTGGTGTGATATTAAACAATTTATTTCCCCTTTTTTCAAAAATACAAAGTTGCAAGTGCAACTCAGCTGCTTGTTATTAAAGAGAACACAAACAGGGTTTGGTAAAGGTTGAGTGAGTGACATTAGAGATGAAATTGCTCACCTCCTTCCCATCTTGAAATTCAACAAGGTCTGATGGATGTATAATTTCCCCTTTTCATTTAAATAAAAGATTATATGTAAGAAGTTGAACGCGAATCATTTTCTTGCTGCCACAAGATAATGAAATTGAAAGACGTGCTGGGAAAAAGGATGTGTGTGGGGTGATGCATCCGTGGGATTGATATTGGAATAACATGAATGGGTTTTATTTCTTTTACTTCTCTTCCTAATCGCCCCCCAGACCACAAAAAATAAAATCAGTTCCTGTCTCGAGTAGTTTGTAATACATTTTTATTTTGCAATGAAAACAAAACTTTAGAGGGGGAAATAAGGTCGCTGTCGGCGGTTTTATTGTTTGAACTCTTCGTGGCAGGAGCACATCGGACGACTGATAACGAACAGAAAGGGAGAGGGTGGGTAGTGAGGGTAGGAAGCTCGTTCATTTCCGCGTCTTATTGTAATAAATTACATATGAATTATTATGTAACAAGCGGTTGAAATCTGAGTGGATTTGACAAGTTCTCATTGAAGGATTACACTGAAATGTACGAAACACGCCTCTTGACTGTTCGTTGGTGTCTGGAGGGACTCCCGTTTTGTGCCTTGTGTTTCGGTTCAGTTTGGAGCATTCCCCGGTTTTTTTAACGTAGATGGAATGGAAAGTGCTTTAAAGGAATATATATATATATTTTGGAAAGTCTCTTTCCCCCTCCCCTCCGTTAAATGGCAATAATATAGGGTGCAGGGTAGGGTGCGATATCTTCCTCTCGCTTTAGCCGCCCATTTTTTGTAATGTTAAAGCTCCTGACGTTTGTCCACTTGCGACAACATGATCTGCTGCAGTGTAACAACATGACGTGATCCTGGCTAGACTTTGTCACCGAAAAGACGAGCATGACTGAGGGCAGAGAGAGAGGGAGACAGACGCACACAGAGACGGTCCGGAGCCGGCAGACGGGGAAGTTATTTAGAGAGGGTTTAAAAGGCATCGCCGTTGCTATCATCTCGGGGGGTCGTGAATCGACGAGGAGATCGGCTCCGGGGGTCACATCGCTGCCAGCTCGGCGAGGGGGGCATAAATACGCAGATTTCGGAGAACTAATTGCTGATTTTTAAAAAAAAGAAAAGTGGTGGTTTAGATGGAGTATCGAATTTTGTGGCGTTGTTAATTTTTTTTAAGCAGGACTGCGGATTTTTTTTCCCAAATGGGATTTTTGTGTGTGTCGATGTTTATGTTAATCTGTGCGAAATGCTTCAGCTGTAGTGATCTTAGTTGCTCCGCGTCGGGAGGGTGAAGGTATAAGGTTATTTGTGGCTGTTAGAGGCTGGACTCGGGGTTTAGACTTTTGTTTGGACCCACGTCGAGGGCGCTCGCTCAGGATTTCTAGGCAGATTTCGTTTTAAATGTCTTAAAATTAAGATTTTCGCTTGTCGTTTAAAACAACCATGGGACAGAATTCCGTTGTGGAACGGGTGCAATTATGTTAGTTTGCGTCCTTTTTAAAAAGCGCCTGAATGTTGTTCCCTCTCTCTCTCTCTCTATATATATATGCATATATCTATATATATATATATATATATACATACACTAGAACGAGTTTGTTGAGAAGCGTTTATTTTTAAAATTTGAAAGTAACCGCAGCGCGGGGCGGGTCCTGCCATTGTTTGTAATGTGACTCGCAACACATTTTAAAACAACTTTTGTGCTCCAGATACTTCTGAAATTTTGCGTTCGGGTGAATATTAACTGCGATTGGTTTGATTTAGGTTGTTTTAATTTAGCAGAGAGACCAGATTAAAGGATTGTTTTCCCTTTGGAAGATGAGAAATAAAATGGCGGCGGTTGGAAGTTTCTGGAAATGGCGCAGCGTCTTTGCCGAGTGCAGTTTAGTTTGGCACAGGATCGAGCGGCTGTGTTTGTCGGCATTGCCGGTGCTTCATTTCGCCTTGCCAGCCCGGCGCTGTAAACCGAGGTCCCTACTGGTTGTTCAGGTCGATGTTAAGATCCCTTCACACTATTAGAGAAGAAAAGGGAGTTCCTCTCTCTCAGTGTCCAGGCTAACATTCCCCCACATAAAACTGGTCACTCCTCCATGGCTGTCTTTGGGTCCCACTGGCTGCCAAGTTTCACCCCTGAAATACAGAGTCCAACCGCCGCCATTTTATTTTCTCAACCTCCAAAGCGAAAGTGTATCCTGTGAAGTGCTTTTGAGACATCTTAACTACGCAATAAGGCACTATATTATTTTTATTATTTCTGCAGTGAGGCAGCTTTTAAAGCTGTTGTGAACCTTACCATGACGGAGCCGCAGCCCCCATCAACATCAGAGAGCCCATTTGATTGCTTCATAGTACTCCTGTTGTAATGATTGCTGGAAATATTGCAGACATTTGTCAAGGGTGGTGGCAGGCAGATTATTAAATTGTACTCAGTATTTACATTAATTTGTTCGAACCCACCTCTCAGCAGTACAATCGCTCCTTATTTAAATACCAGTATAGATTTGTAGCCAAGACTTTTATTGCATGTGGTTCACATTTGAAACTATTATTTTTAGGTTCTTTCTGCAAATCGATTTTATGTCTCTCCTTAAATGAGTATAGTTCTGTTTTGACAGTTCCTTATTTAAATCTTCAGACTATCATGAGCTATTTTGCAAGAAATTATTTTTGTTTAAAATGTGTTGCTGTGCATTTCTACTGATGGCATTTTTTAAAACTAGCTATTCTACTTTTCCAAGGTAATTCTTGATTTCCTAGTCCAGTGTTTCTGGATTAAACAGTAATTTAATGCCATTGATGTTATTTTAAAATGTTGCTCTGCAGAATTATTTTAGTAATATGAAATGCAGGCACGATACCATCTTTTCAGATTTTTTTGATTTCCAAGCAAAGTTATCTCCAATGTTCATCTCAAATTTGTAGAGTATTTGTGAACAATAACTCTTGATTGAAGTTTGCCAAAATAATCTTCTATTAAACGCAATGCAAAGCTGGTTTTCTCTGGTATCAAATTTAATTTTGGCCACAAACTAATTAGATATTCTTTACTAATGTATGCAAAATTTGAAAGAATATTTGCAGAAAATTTACAGTTGAACTTCACTCATTTCCTATGATAATCTTTAGTATTTTCATATAGAGAGGCTTATAAACAATAACTTTGATAATGGCCTTTATTTAAATTAAAATTGTAATCAAAACATATGAGAGAAAGTCAAAAACCTGTGAGAAAGTCGTTAGCAGAAAATAAGTGCATCATTTCAAATAATTATTTTTCAGAAAATGTTTTGGTGTTGTGCTTAATTAAATTATAAATATATACTTTTTGAGGGAGGTTTCAGATTCCAGACCATATGGATTTGGTTTGGTATCATGGGTCACTAACATTTCCTTCCTACAAGCTATTTAGTTTTACAGCCAGAGTCATCCAACCATTTAATTTATCCTGCACTTTTCTCCTCTTTCTGGACCTTGCGATTGACCATATAAACCTTGGTGTTTATCTTTTTTTCTTAAAAAAGTTTAGCATGCGTAGATAATTTTTTAAAAAAGTTTATCTAATCTTACGTATGCTAAACTGTGTAGAGCCCTGAAACATAATTGTAATCTTATACTGAAAGTATATTTCTTATTTCATGGACGTGTTGCTTCAGGAGAGAGGTTAGAGATGTTTTCTCCAGAGTTTTACTTTTATGTGTATTGTATATGAATATTTTATATACATTTTATAAGAACCAAAATAGATTGCAAGGGACTGTTCAAGAATGTATTAAATGAGAATATGTTGGAACAGAAATGGCTCTTCTAGCTCATCTTTCTGGTCATTATTAAGGACCCAATCCATTTCATTTCCTTCCTACTTTGGACTAATTGGGATTTTGACTTTAAAGTTTTCTTTCATATAGGTTCACGTTGGACAGTCACTGAATGATGTAGCTGAGATATCCCCTTGCAACTCAAATGTGGCTGATCATTTTTTTCTTATGCAGTATTCACAACATCTTGGAGGTGTGAATAGTATTGGCATATGCAAATATGCTGGAATAGTTGCTGAATAATTGTTGAGTTCCATAATTGTGAATGCCAGGTTAAGCAACGTTTTCTAATTTCAGTTTTTATTGTCTCTTTGTTAAAAATTGTGAAGGATTTTATGAACATAGAAGTAGGCCATTCAGCCCATCGAGCCTGTTTTGCCATGTGATCTGCACCTCAACTCCATTTACTTACCTTTGCTCTCTATACCTTAATACCCTTACCTAACAAAACTCTTATCGACCTCAGTCTCGAAAATTTGAATTGATCCAGCATCCACAGTCTTGTAGAAGAAAGTTCCAGATTTCCACTACCATTTTGTGAAAAACTGCCTCCTGATTTTACTCCTAATGGGCCTAGCTCTAATTCAAAGGTTATGCCTGGATTCTCCCACCAGAGGAAGTAGTTTCTCTGTATCTACCCTATAATTTTTCATTTTAAACACATCAGTTAAATCATTCCTCA